TTCAGTAGGAGACTATACTTCTAATCTAAGCTGGACATTTTGTGAAAGTATATGCTTGGTAATAAGAGAGACTAGAGATTTATTTATTCAGTAAATATTTTTCTGTGTATTTATCATGTTCCTGGTAGTAAACTAGGAGTTGAAAACAAAAAGTTGAATAAAAGTTGTTTTCTGGATACAAGGAGCTCCTAATTTGAACTAAGAGTTATATTATTATGTGGTATAAGCTATATGTAAACACAAAGGTGGTATCTATTTTTTTTTATGGAACATGGCCATACTCTTTATCTTTGAGACAGCTGGTTTAATGCCAGTCATTACTTTTCCTACATGGGAATTTGTCTTGACACTTTTAAACTTGTATGGGTTCCCCTTCTTTGTCTTATTTGTCATTGTCCCACTCCAAGGACAATCTTTTTCCTTGAAATTTTGTAATAGTATTGCATACTTCGAATCACATGCCCCACCCACTATGGAAAAAACTGCTGCAGATATTGTTACAAAGCATCAACCTCATTTATTTTTTGTTTGCTTGAAAGAACCTAACTGGATTTTAAACACAGAAGTGCAAATCTTCAATATGATAGATCCCCTGGTCTTGCTGAAGGGAAAGTCACTGAGATACATCTGTTTGCTTCTTTGTGCTACACTTTCTTTGAGAAAAGGGACATGATAAGAAAAGTTGGAGTACACACCTGCCTCCTCCCTTCAACCCCTGTTGTCCTCTAAAGCTGACTCTAACTTTGTGAAAAAGCAAAGAAGTTTTGAGATACATAGGGGATGCTGGGGAAGAGAAAGCATGAAGAGGAGAAACCCAGAGACAGAAAAGCAGATAGTTGCAGCACAGTATTGACCACAGCCGTATACAGTTGTGCTGGACATGTTTCAAGGCTGCTGTGGTTCTTTGGGTCCTTCCTGAGTAACTCCTTACCTCTTCACCTAGCTACCAGCTGTACCTCTCCACCCTCCTTATGTCATATTATGTAACTTTCATTCTTCAAAACCCGCTCTGTTGCTTCATACTTTATGCCTTTATTTTATTTTATTTTATTTTATTTTTTTGAGGCGGAGTGTAGCTCTATCTGTTGACATTTTGATTGTTTTCCTTATGCAATCTTCAAACAACACATGCTGAACTTGAAGTCAACTTCATGCACGTGAATTACAGGTGTTAGGTCGCTTTCTTTACTGTTCTTATTGTTAAGTTTTCTTAATGATTTTTGGTAGGGAGCTTTGAAGATACATCAAATGTTGATATTGATCTAATTCTACTTTATATAATATAATTTATTTTGCAGAGATTTTAAAAAAACTAATAATAAAAAGTCAACTTTAAACTAGAGTTCAGCTGACTAGAACTCTCAAGCAACTTTTTTTCTCCTCAATTTTTACTTACAGAGAAAGGTATTGTGACAAGTCAGCAACTTATATAAGGGATATGCTTTAAAAAACTAACGTCTCTAAGGTGAAATTTGAGAATCAGCCCACAATCTATTCTTTTTTTCTTTTTCTGAGATGGAGTTTTGCTCTTGTTACCCAGGTATATTTAACATTTACATCAGTAGAATTGTGCAATGACAACTAAGGTTTAGAATGAATCATTAAGGAAGAATTTTATTTATTTAACACTAATCAAAAGACAAAAATAAATGTTGACATATTTTCTATATATAAATATACACACATGTTTTCATAGCAAGGCTTAATTAAAAAGGATTTCAGTTGCTCAAGTTTCTGATTACCGTGGGAGAACAATGAATTCCTTCAGAACACTGTTTAATTCATTTTTCTTTTATATGTGACCTAAAATTTCTAACTTATGAGAGTAGTTGGAAGATGTTTTGAATTAGTATCTCATTTCAAAAGAGATAGGGATCTTTCTGATTTGGTGTGACCTACTTCTTGGCAAGTAGTGTAAAAATATTTGGATATGAAAATGAAATCTAAATCCCAACTTTAGATCAGGATATTAAATATCACTCAGTAATTTACTTGGGGTTTATTAAATTCTGAATAAAATTTTGTCTGTTCTCTGTGGGAAGGAAAATCATTACATAGTGGTATCAAGGGGTTCCAAGTCTAACGTGGAGGATTTTTCTTAGTGTCTGCCGTGTCAAATGGATAAAGGAAATCATAAACAGATGAATACATTTGACTACATTAAATAACATAAATCATATTTAATAAAAAGTCTTTTATTGATTTGTTTAATTCCTGCCTTGTTTAATTAAGGATATTGAGGTAGTTGAAGTAGACTAAAAAGGAAAATATGCAAATTAAAAGGCAAATAACCTTTAGGAAAAATGTTTTAAGTATGTACAGATAGTTAATTCCTTGATTAAATGAATAGCACATAAAATTGATAAGAATATTAACATTCTCATAGGCCAATGGGAATAAAAATTGACCGATACTTTGAAAAAAGGAACTAGAACTACGAAATGAATTGAGAAATGTGTCCAATGTCAATAATAGTAAAATAGATGCACATTTTATTCAATTGTAAAAATTATAATACATTGTGGATGTTTTTCAGTTACACTAACCAATGCTACAGATATGTTGAAACTGACATTTTCTTAACACTTGTGCATTATGCTTTGGTTTGCCAACACCTGGCCTATAGAATAACATCCAGATTCTTAGCACATCACCCTTTACAAACTGTTCTCAGTCTAATTTTCTCAAGGTACATCTCCATGACTTTCCCACACACAACTTTCTTGCTGGCCTTGCTGAAGAGATGTGCTTCTCACTCTTCACTGCTACTGTCCATGTTGGTCTTTCTGACAGACCATTTACTTTCTACATTGTCATCCTCACGAATACCTATTTGTTACTCAAATTTTAGTACTGGTCTCATCTCCTCTCTACTCTCTGAAGGCTTCCCTAAAGACTCTTGTAATCTTTATTTTTTTCATTCTCTCTGCCCCATAAAATATTGTCTCCAACATTGTTATAAGGACTAGACTCAATAATTGCTTTGACATGTGGCAAATTTTCTAGGTAGGAAAGAGGTGTTCTGTGATACCTACTCATCACCTATATGATATCCTATCAAGGAAATTATTTTGATACCTCATGCCTTATTTTGGCATGTTATTTCTATTTGACTAAGATAATTTACTTCTTTTTCTTATTTTATATGATTATATACAAATGAGCATAGTCTGTTATTACTTTTCAAATGCTAACTTTTATTCTAATATCTGTCTCTACCTCTCCTCTTTCATTAGCCTTACTTCTCATACAGTATTACTTTTAATCTTACTTGTCTTCAATCCAGACTTATTGTAAGGTACTTAATTATTGCAGGTGTAAGCATCTGGTAAGTTTGGTTTATCTTCTTTTGAGTCATACTGATCATTCACATTCATATATTGAATTATGTGTTATTTTTATTATAAATTACTTTTATTTTCTGTTTTATTTTACTATTATAAATTATATGCTTGTTTGTTTTTAATTTAGTTGTGTAGGTAGGCTAACTTACCAACGTATTTTATGTCAAGATAATAAAGAAATATTACACAATATTTATTATAAAAGAGGCACTCTATCTGGCTGGTTTGAAGCTACAAACATAATGTCTCATGTCTACATAAGGTGTGCCTGGGAAGTCCCACAGAGAGCCCAACAGCCACCTTGTGTAAGAACTTTGTTAGCACTAAGTAGGATGAAGCAGAAAGCCTGGAAATGTGAACTGACTACGCTGTTCAACTACGTTGCCTTACAAATGGTCAAGACTTGGGTGGCAGTTTTAAAACTGAAAATATAGATTACAATAGTCAAGGTTACTACTCTGGACATGCAAACTTTGAGTATAAAAAGTAATTTAATAGCTCTAAGATGAGGTAAAACTTTGAATAAAAATCAGGTTTCAGTGTCATGTGGGAAATGGTCTAGATAATCTTTAATTGCAATCTGAATCTTTAGGTTCTTCAGATTCTTCACTACTGAATTCCTATAATTCCGTATACACAATGTTATCAGGTATATTATTAATGTTAAGTATGTTAAAAGTGAATCTAAATATCTTTTTTACCAAAGCAAAAATATTAAATAGTAATTATAAATTTTTGCTATCATATTGTATTTCTCAAGTCTAGCAATTGTCAATTTTCTTAAGTTTTCCAAGAATCTTTTATAGTCTTAAAAATTATGGAGGCCTCCAAAGAGCTTTTGCTTAAGTGGGTAACATCTATTAATATTTTCCATAATGGAAATTAAAACTAAGACGTTAAAATATAATGTAACAATTCATTTAAAGTGACAAAAGAAACACATTACATAATATTATAAATAAATTATATTTAAAGAAAGAACTGTATTTTCTAAAACAAAAAATATAGTGAGAAGAATGGCATTGTTTTGCAGTTTTTCAAATATCTCTAATGTCTGGTATAATGGCTGGATTCTCATATTTGCTTTTGTATTTAATTTGTTGTTCTATGTTGTGGCTAACTGTATGGAGAAAATCCGTTCTTACACAGATGCATATTTGGAAAAAAAAACAAGGAACATTTTAATAGCCTTTTAAGATAACTGGATTTCTTTCTTGAAATATAAGTACATATGTCAAAACTCAACATGTAATTGTTTCTTAACGGTTAGTTGGAAAACAGCATTGCAAATCATTTTAATGAACTTTTCACATACTGTAATATCAAAAACCAATGGCCTGTCTTGCATATTGAATGAGTCTACCCATACATGATTTTGTACATTATATAGTCTTAATTTAGAAAATGTGGGTTCAATTATTTCTGATGATCTTTTCATCATTGACCCGATATAAAAAAAATCACATACATCAGTATCATCACTGATCTCTTGAAAAAATCATTAAGTATTGTGAATGCATCAGTCTCATCACAGCAGATAAAAATCTCTAGCATTCTACTTTTCACTTAAAAGCGTGGATTGTATCACTGGTAACAGATATGCCTAATACTCAAGTGTGAATAACCATAGTGTTTTTGTCATTGTTTTAATTTAAGATGATGGTCCAAGGGAAAAAATGTCCAGTTCAGCCTGCAACTCAAAAACTGTACGAAAGTTTTTTTCCAAGAAATAATTGTATTTCTGGATGGCATCAGTGGCAATTTACACATACTTCCCCTTTTATCAACAGAACATTAAGGTAGGTACTTAAAGAGTCAAGATTTAATGTAATTTATGTTTTGTATTCTTTCATCAAAAATATTTTTAGGGAGCATATATTTAGAGCAACTTGAATCTATGTCTCCCAGGTTGCCGTCTTCAAATTCAGCCCAAATAAACTCTCCATTTACATTTAATTTTTTTTTTTTTTTGAGATGGAGTCTTGCCTCTCTATCACCCAGGCTGGAGTGCAGTGGTGTGATCTCAGCCCACTGCAAACTCCACCTCCCGGGTCCAAGTGATTCTCCTACTTCAGCCTCCCGAGTAGCTGGGGTTACAGGCGCCTACCAGCACGCCCAGCTAATTTTTGTATTTTTAGTAGAGATGGGTTTTTACCATGTTGTCCTGGCTGGTGTCAAACTCCTGACCTCAGGTGATCCACCTGCCTCAGCCTCCCAAAGTGCTAGGATTACAGGTGTGAGTCACTGTGCCTGGCCAAAAAAAGAACATTCTTAAATGAAACCAGCATTTTTTTTTTTTTCCCTGCACGTGCATGGTGGGAAAAAATACAATGAGCACTAATACAGTTTGGCTCTATTTCCTTGATTTGTGCTAAGAAGCACTATTTTTACCCTTCATTTCGCCATTGTGAAAATATTAATTTACTTAGTGAAAAAGGTAAATAACATCTTAGTACTAGTAGGAAAAGTTTTTGACAGATCCCTCCTGAAGGGTCTCCATCTCAGGTGTTCACAGAACACCCTTTGAGAACTGCTCGTCTAGTCCTTCTATCTTTCTCTCTCTAGAATGATTATTTATTGCTTTTTCTCTATCCTAAAACTTACATCTCTGTCTCCATCCTCATTCTTAACTTTATTTACTTAAATATAGAGAATTTCTCAAACTCCTTTATCAAATCTACCTACCAACCAGCACCTGGGTCAAAATATTCTGCCTTCCTTCCCATTTCTGTGGCTGAATTATCTATTCATGCTCCTATCTCATGCCGTCTCCACCACTTTTGCCTTTGATTCTGAGACAGGAGTTCAGCAAAATTTGTTTCTCAAGACACAGGTTACAAAGACCCTGCTGATAAAACAGAATGCTGTAAAGAAGCCAGCAGATACCAGTCAGAATCAAGATGGCAACAAAAGCTACCTCTGGTTGTTCTTACTGCTCATTATGCACTAATTATAATGGATAAGACTGCTAAAAGAAACTCCTACCATTGCCACCAGTTTACAAATGCCATGGCAACATTTGGAAGTTACATGGTCCAAAAGGGCAGGAACCCTCAGTTCCACTCCCTGCTTTTTTCCCAGAAAACTGATGAATAATCTACCCCATATTTAGCATAAAATTAAGAAATAACCATAAGGATGGCCAGCCAACAACCCATGAGGGCTACTCTGCCTAGGGAGTAGCCACCCTTTTACTCTTTTGTTTTCTTAACAAACGTGCTTTCATTTTACTCTGTTGTCTCACTCTTGAATTCTTTCTTGTGCAAAGTCAACAACCCACCTGGCCTCCTGGGCTGAGCCTCAATTTTGGGGTTTGCTTTGTGACAATTCCGTCTTCCTAAGATGTTTAAAATTGGACTCTTCGTCTTCTTCCCAACATGGTACATTGGCAGTCTTCTCATCTCAATTAATGGCAACTCAACCCTTTCTATTATGTTGGCCTAAAGCCTTGAAATCATCCTGCATGACTCTCTTCTATCATGCCTGACAGCTACCCTGTCAAGATACTACGTTTATTCTAGCTTCAAAATACATTTAGTTTTGAGTTCTGTCTTAACACCCCCACTGCTACTGCTCTGGTTCAAGCCCCCACTGATTATTATTCTAATTGGTTTGTAATTGGTCTTTTGTCTTCCAATCTTGATTTTCTATAGCCTATTATCAAAACAACAGCTAAAGAGATATTTTAAAAACTTAAGTCAAATCACATTAACTTCAAAAGTCATCCTATCACACTTAACGTGATAGCAGAAATCTTCAGCAGCCTGTTAGCTTTGCATGATTTGGCCTTCAATCTTTTCTTCCTTTCTCACTGACCTTATCTCCTTTCTCTCTTTGCCTGACTTACTTTGCTCAAATCACAGAGGCCTCCTTGTAGATCTTTGGAGCCACAAGGCATGATCCTAATTTACAGCCATGCTGTACTTCTTCCTGAAGGGCATTTCCCCCAATACCTGATTTCCCCCTTACTTCACATTGCTTCTCAAATGCCACTAATCAGAAAACTCTCCTTGCCTACCTATATAAAATAGCCTTACTACAGCCACTCTATTTCCTTAACTTGCTCAATACATACTTATAGTAAGTATCATCCTTGGACATATTATTTATTTATTTAATTATTTGTCATCTATTTCTATGATTCTATTAGAATGTAAGCTCTGTGAAGACAGGGACATTTTCTTTTTTTTAATTAATTTTTTTTAACTTTAAGTTTCAGGCTACACGTGCAGAATGTGCAGGTTTGTTACAAAGGTATCTGTGTGTCATGGTGGTTGGCTGCACTTACCAGCCCACTAAGCCCCACATGCATTAGCTATTTGTCCTGATACTCTCCCTCCCCTTGCCACTGCCCCCCACCCTTTCTAGCTCCAGTGTGTGTTGTTCCCCTCCCTGTGTCCATATGTCCTGATTGTTCAACTCCCACTTATGAGTGAGAACATGTGGTGTTTGGTTTTCTTTTCTTGTGTTAGTTTGCTTAGGATGATGGCTTCCAGCTTCATCAATGTCAAGACAGGGACAATTTTCTGATTGTTATTGCTGTGTTTCTGACTCCTAGAACAGTTCCTGGCATGTAGCAGGCATTCAATACAGATGTTTTTGACACTTAGATCAAGATGGCTGACTAAAGGTGCTCAGCACTAACCTCCCTAAAAAAGAAGGACCAAAACAACAAATAGATAACCACAAGTTGAATAGAGTGTCTAGAGAACACTGGAATTTAGCGAGGAAGTGACAGAGACTCTCTGAGGCATGGAGGCTTGGGATAGGACCATAGAGAGCAAAGCAAACAAACTGGCCAGGATTAACTGGAAGAACTCATTCAGGGAGAAGTCAGGGAAGAGATCCTCAGCAGTCCACACTCTTACTATAGATTCCTGCAGTCCTAGTTATAAGAGAGCCCAATAGCCCTGCAGGCCCCAAACACAATATAGGGAGCTGCCTAGAGTCCACAAAACTGTATTATTTCACAGAGGAAATTTACACTGGGTCCTCCTAACTCACTGACCCCCAGGTTACTGCAGCCTGGTGCCATTTTGAGAGGGGAGCAAACACAAGACTGCATCCTGCCCAGGGGCCTAATAGCCCTTGCATCTCCATATCCCTGGGGCACCATTGACATGACACCACATCTACCCAGAGGGCTGCAGTGTTTTGACACCAGTGATGCAGCCATGACCTTGGGACCCAAGCCAACACAGTGCCCTGTACTCTGGGGAACAAGAGGTCCAGCAAAGCAGGAAAGTTGCCCTCAAGACAGTGGGAGCCAGTGTGTGATCTTCTCAGAGCCTAAGAGCTGCCCACCTGGGGTCTGCTGCCCTTACCATCAGCAACTCTGTCCCCTTCAGCAGTGGAACCACCCAGGGGCTGAAAACTGGCTTGCCCATAGCCAGCTCACCGTTGTCAGCAACCCTGCCCCCTTTAATGATGGAATTAGATCACCAGAGCCCAACAACCAGCTCATGCAAGGCCTGCTGCCCCCGCTGTCAGGTAACTTTGTCTCTTTGGCAGCAGAACCACATGGGAGCCTGAAGATCAGCCTACATGGGGCTTACTACTGCCACCACCAGCAACCCTACCTTCCTCAACAGTGGGGCTGCTATGCACCTGCATGGCACCCAGAGGTCCAAGGACTGGTCTGCCTGGTTCTCGCTACTACCACCATTGACACCCTGCCCTTTCCAGCAGCATAGCTATTGCATACCTGGGCATGCCTCTCAGGGACCTGAGGGATCTACCTTCCCAGTGTCCTCATCCTCAGCAAAGCCACATCATAGCCTCCACAAGCAACCACAGCCTACACCACCGAGGCATTTGCAGACACTGCTGTTATTGATTATGGCCAAAGAAATCATGCAGAGACTACACTACTGCATCCACCCAGAAACAAAACCAAGCACCCTACCTAACCAACACTATAGGATACATTTACAAGAAGAAGTCTCTAATTATGAAAGCTACTTCATAAAGTTGGGAGAAGTAACTATTTCACCAGAAGTTCAGATATAAACATAGGGCCACAAGAAACCAAAACCAAAATAAAACAAAACAAAAAACAGGAAGGAAACAGAACATCTCCAAAAGAACACAATAAATATCGAGTAATATGCCCCAAAGAAAAGGAAATGTGTGAAATGCCTGATATGGAATTCAAAATAATAATCTTAATATTAACAAAATCAAGGAAACAATTCATGATCTAATAAGATTCAGCAGGAAAAGCAAGGGTGGTTAATGGGTACAAAAATAAAGTTAGAATGAATAAGATCTAGTATTTGATAGCACAACAGGGTGACAATAATTTATTGTACATTTAAAAATAACAGAGTATAACCGGAGTGTTCATAACACAAAGAAATGATAAATGCTTGAGGTGGTGAATACCCTATTTACCCTGATGTGATTATTATACATTGTATGCCTGCATCAACATATCTCATGTACCCCATAAATATATACAACTACTATGTACACATAACAAAAATCTAAAAATTAAAAAAGAGATTCAACAGAGAGATAGATATCATAAAAAAGAACCAAACAGAAATGCTGGAAGTGAATAATTCAAGGAGTTAAACAAAAAATCCGATTGAGAGCTTCAACAATAGACTAGAGCAAGTAGAAGAAAGCATTTCTAAATGTGAAAACAGGTCTTTTAAAAATAACCATCGAACACAAAAAAACAAAAAAAGGAGGAAAAAAGAATGAAGAAAGCCTGTGTGACATATGGGACACCATTAAGTAAACAAAGTTTTGTGCCGTGGGAGTTTCAGAAGCAGAAGAGGTGGGAAAAGGCATA